GGTGGGAAAAAAAGGGCAAATGGAAGATGGCAGTCGCATCTTGAGGCAGCCCACACATGCAGCTGTCAGAGCGCATTTATGTGTGACTGACGATGAAATGCACGTCCACCGAACTCAACTGAACACAGCTGACAATATTGAAGACAAACAAAGAGAATGCCCTCCTCAGCATCGAAACAACAAAGAGATAAATGATAATTATTCAAAGACTGTCCTAATGGGAACTTTTGAATTGCACTAATCATCTGTTTTCATACCCTAATTATACAATGCTACAGATATTTTATAAACATATGCCCCCAAACATTACTCAACTTTGTTCTTTGGTCTAAATAAGACAAAAAAAAAACACTTTGAAAGCACAAAGAGAGACAGAGAATTTTAAATGTATGGATATGTGAAAAGAACCTCATGTGCACTGTTAGGTACGGTAGAGGAGGTGTGATGCTAAGAGCCGGTTTCCTTTCCACAGGATCCTGGGATTTTTGCCGCCTGCCATCATGAACTCTTACAAGAAGATTTTAATGAACAATCTGATTAACTTTGTCTAAAACCTGAAAGTGGGATGATACTGGACCTTTAAATAAAACAACTATAAGCATATGACCAGATCCACACAGAAATGTCCCACTTTTCAGAAAATCATCTAGAGTTTAGATTTGTGGCCCAACAAAAATGATTTGCTTGGTGGTCGGGTCGGGTCAGGTCTGTGACTCCCCGTGTGGATAATGGATGGATGATTGGATGGAACTTGCAAAATGTGTCAATGTCTGATGAGCTGCTGCTTTGCAGCAGAAAGTATGGTCTTATTTGGCCTCACAAAAAGTAAAAATCCACAGGAATATTCTTAACAAAACATGCAAATCGCAGCAATAAATGTCAGATTTTACTTTTAATTTTGCTGTGAATAAGAAAGTTCCTAAAAAATGTAAAAAAAAAAAAAATAGATATAAAAACAAAACACTCAGTTTTGTTTTATGTCTATTGTGTTGTATCGATGTACAGTCCTGTCTCGAGACCTTCGAGGTTCTCATGTAGAATTTCACTTTTCAATAACAATGCTTTTGTTTTCTCCTTTTTCCCTGTTTTTTTTTTTATGGACTCCTCGTGATAATATGATTCCAAACAATAAATCTCAAGTCAGTTTATACGCTCTACGAGATGCATGGAGGATCCATAAACGTCGGCTAAACCTGAACTTATAGTAAAGATGGAACAAACTATAAAAGTAACAGTAAATTATGAACGTAGAAGGTGAATGAGGTCAAAAATGACGGAGCACATAAAACAGAAAAAGGGGTCGCACAACAACCAGAATGAAGTGAGACAGTTGGATGATTTAAGCACAAGTTTGCTCATCAATGCAGAGAGGCGAACAGCACATTTAAGTGCAGACATGATTTGAGGAGTGATTATATAAAACAGCCTGAAGAAATCCCCGTCAGCCCAGCTTGGCTCTATGTGGCAAAGTGCCTGCATTTAAAACTGTTAGCAGGCAGGAGTTGGCTCCAAGCTTCACGATAGTTTTATGGGTTCCCCTGGGCAGAGCCATAAGCTGCCTCGCCATCTTTTACTGAACCACGGTGATTAGGAGCCCGATGTGGTGACGGCCCTGCAGCCACTGGACTGTGATTTACAGCTCAGACCAAATGCATGTTTTTTTTTTTTTTTTCCACTGTTTGTGTTCACTACAAGAATTTGCTCCCCTTTCTTTCTGTGTATTTGTTAAGTAAATATCTATTTATTGCTGAAGTAAGGGCAAGGAAATGTGCCAATCGTCAATCTCAAGTATTAACTAATTCACAAAACAGATGAAATGGAACAACATGTCAACAGACGCGAAGCCAATATGAAAAACCCAGGAAAGAATTTTTATAAGCTGCAAACTACAGAAAAATGTGAGAAAATGGGTTTTAAAAAGCAGCCCCTTGTTCCATGCTTTGCTTCTGGACTCTTGGCTATTGAGAAAATTATACTTGTCGGAGGTGTGGATTGTGTTGTCTTAAATTCTACGCAACCGCAAACGTTCATAGCATCATCAGATCGATGCTATGAAGCTTACCAGAAATGGCCTGCTTTGTAAACAATCATCCTCCACTGCTAAGAGAGAAGTGTAAAGCTGAACGAAGCAGATTTTAATGTCAATTCAATGTTTGGAAGTGTGGCAAACACAAACTTAACGGCTTTGTTCACTTCCTCTGCCGCCACTGCTAAAACTACAGGCGAGACTACAATTCAAAAACATTGCAGAAAATTTACGTCATCATTAACAAATTCTCCTTCTGTTCGCTGTTTGGCCTGGTAGAAAATCTACCAGTGACAATCCAATTCAATGGGAAAAAGCCCAGAAGTGAAGAAAGATCAGAATCGAGCGGAAGTGCGTATAAATTCAGTGGTCAGGCTAGGTTTTAAAGGCTAATTCAGGTAAAAAAAAATGTAATAAAATTATTAGTTTCTAATAATTTAGAATCAAAATGAATAAATAATGCAATATCTCATTTGTCATTGGATCCAAATGTGGTAAACCCTTCAATAGAATAGCATAGCCTGAACCGAGAAAAAGACTACAGAAGGTATTAAAGTTGTGAGTCTGAAAATGGGGCCTCATGTCTCAATGAGACTTTTCTGTGTAAATAAAAGTTAAGTAAAATAAAGTAATTCTTGGGCATCTTGAAGACCAAGGAAAACAACCCAGTTTTTCAAAATCCCCCTTACCATCCCCTCTCGGTGTGCGCAGTGTCAAGATAAATTTTCTCTGGTATTTACTCAGTCTTGTTTTTACAGTTCAACCTTCCAATTAATACTCAGGCGGCAGATACTGGGATCTTAGGTAAGTAGACATGTATCTTGTGGCTAACCCCTGACTTATAAAAATGCCTGTAAGAGTAACTTTATTCTCAATTAATCCACAAAATCCCTATCAAAGCTTTTATTTATTGCTTCATAAAGGTTAAATCAAACAATCCGTATAAAAATTACATTTGAATTTGAATTATTATATTTAAAGCATGTTAAGTGCTATTATTGTGCCTTATTACTTACTGGTCACTGATGTAAGAATTTAATTTTAAGACCCCAGTTTGCAAGAATCCTTCCTAAAGTACTCCAGACACCCCAGATCTGGTGGGGGCCACCATAAACAACCTGGACCACTGATCTAAATAATTCACCAACAGTGCAGCTGGTTAACTTCAGGTCTGCTGCTGCAGATAGGAAAAAAATACGGACTCAATTAAGCACAAGATCAACAAACAAACTTTCTTTTTAAGCTAAATGTAAACAATGAGGTAGAGAAAAATGTAAGGATGTATCTTTCCTTTTTTTAAATATCTCTAAATATGGAAAACCTTTCCTCTGGAATAACTGAGCAGTTCTATCTGGACCTTGCGGGATGTGTGTGAAATCATTTCTCTATTCCTGCAATTGACTGTAATACCTTGCAGATGGTATTGCGTGTGTGTGCTGCACTGATAATAACTCCTAGCAGGAGCAGAAGGAGAGCGACCAAGAGAAAAGTTATGAACCACAGACTGTGCGGAGGCCAGTATGAAAAAACAAATGGTAGAAATTGCACAGTGAGCACGGTTCCACAAGTGGAACTAAAGCACCCCTTGTCCGGAGGATCCCGGGGGTGGGGGTTGGTTTCAGGAGACACATGCGACCCGCCTCAGGGTCAGACACAGGGCTGCATGTTGAATCATTTTCTTGTTGAGAGTTTCTACACCTTCGGCCACGGGAGTGTAAGGCAATACCGGAGTGAGAAATTTGCAGTGGTTTAAGTTAGTTTTTAAAGTTCCGTACCAACATGAGGGGGAAAAATGATGCTCTGCAGGAATGCACGTGGCAAACCAAGACAAATATTAGGCAGAAGCGGCTGCAGGGCGCTGTGTAATTTAGTGGCGTGTGGCTAAAAGTACACACTGGAAGTGTCACAGTTCTAGTGGCTATCATCTTTCTGTACCTGGCTGGGACAAGCTGACATCGAAATAGTCTCTCAGCTGCCAATGGGTAGTTTGTCACTGGTGTCACGAAGTATTTGATAGCTCTCTCAGTTTGATGATGGAGCAACCATATGTGCACTACATGCGAACTCGGATCAGGACCTCCTCTCAATTTATTCAAACTTTTTGGATGTTTTTTTTTTAAGTCATTTTGCCACACACTTGAGATTTTTTTTTTTTTTTTAAAGTCCAGTTTAAAGTTGACCAAAAGCCACATATGGGACCACAGCTGATTTTTTTTGGCCTGCATGCAAAGAACTAAAATCAACCATCTAGTGAAACATTAGGGTGGCAGGATCATGCTGTGGGGATATTTTTCTTCTGCAAGAATAGGGAAGTTGGTCATGAATAATAGAAAGATAGATGGAGCTAAGCATAGAGAAATATTTCAGGTTTGCCGTGTTTTAACAGCAGCTCCATCCATCTTTCAATCAAATCCAAAAACTGGTAAACTTCAAACAACAGTTCTCAGTGGTTTTCTTAAATGCTCACACAGGTGGAAAATATGTTTTTAATGACCAATTTCAGGAGACAACTTGTTACTTTAAAATGTATTTAAGGTCATTACAGTAAAGAGGGGGAAGTACCAATGTGCATCACACTTTTCAGACTTGTTTGTAAAAAAAAAAAAAAAAGTAACTCATACATACTTATCACGTTAGTCTAGATTATGTTGATCTATGGCATAAAAGTCTATTAAAATATATTGAAGTTTGTGTTGTAAATGACTCAAAGGGTATGAGTACTTTTCTTGGACACTTTAATTGAACGTGAAAAAATACTGACACTGCAGGAAACAATAAATGCCCTGTATTTTTAATGAAAATCTACTTCTGGATCAGATAATGCTGAAAGCTGGAACGTTTCTCAGAACAGGTCCTGCAGGGTAGGTTTAAGACGAGGCTGGAATTTCTTTCCTGAGTCAGGCTGCAAGGTGAATTGTTTGTTGCCTATTAGACAGCGCAGGAGTGCGCCTGGACTCGCCCCTCCCACCTCCCTGCTCCGCTCCGCTCCAGCTCTCCCTGTGCTCTCCAATAAAGCGCTTTTTGTCCAGGGGAGTCGGCACTTGAGCGCATTCCTTGACGTGGAGGCTGGTCTACCTCTCTCTGACTACTTGATGAAGACCGCTCTTGATAGCCCAGGTCAATACACGTCCACGGACAGGAAAGAAAAGAAAAATACTTTTGTTTATTCTTGCGAGATCGTGCGCACACGGAAAACTACCAGCTTTGGAGTTAACATCGGTGAAGTGCTCTGTTTGGATACGGACACAAGCGCGACAGCGCTCTTACAGCTTCACATCTACAAAGTTACGGGTAAGACTCTGCTGTATCTACCAATAAAATATGAACAATAAACTATTCTCGGGTCTTTAAGGCTGTATGTTGTGGACCAAGACGCGTAAATTAAGTGACGCGTAAAGCAGGACTGTGTAAAATATAATCAACGAACGAACAGGGATAAAATAAATTTTAACATGTCCGATTAACGCATTTTTGACACGTGACTAGAGTTGTTATATTTTCGTCTTTAATTGCAACACCTTTAGCTTAAAAAAGGCAGCATAACTCACCAACATTGTTTTTTGTGTTTGTTTTGTTTTTCTAAAGCGCTCATTTTAACGTCACAAGATCTCTTATCAGAATTTTATTGAAATGCATCAAATGTTTCAACTCAAGGAAAACTAGGTTTACGTGAGGCTGCATGGACGCGCTGCTGCTGTACTGGGATGATAAGTTAGAGGATGCGGGTGCCTCTAATGCCTCAGGTCAACAATCGGTGACAAAAAAAAAGAAAAAAAAAAAGAACCGTGTTTTGTAACTGGACCAACCATAGCGTGTGCGCGGTGCACAAAAGTAGCCGTCGGGGCGGTAACGAGGCGGGCTGGCGTTGGACCGCAGGACGCCGTGCAGCACGCAGGGACCGAGCCGAGCGTCTAGACCGCACCGAGCCGTGCTCACCGCAGAGGACAGCTGTTTTTGGAACATGCAGCAGGGAGCGTCCCACTACATGAGAAGCTCAACGGGACACAATACGCATGATTTACATAGAAATGTGTTTGAATCTGGGGAGTTTTAAAAGGCAGAGCCGGTCAAAGGTTATACAGGCCCGAAGAATAAATTCTTTTTAGGGCTCCCTTTTTATATTCCAGCTCACTCTTAATTCTCTATGTACGGTTAACTAGCAACTCTGCAATGGACTGAAACCGACCCTTTACACTATCTATTAAATAAACACAATTTAAATGAACATGCTTTCATTTTTTGGTCGATTTTCTAATTCTGTTATAATTCTATTAACTTTCCTAAGCGAAGATGATCAGAGCACTCCCATATGTTGCTCTGTAGGTAAACAGTTAATTCAACAAATTTAGGGGTCTGTCCATACTTCTGAAGCATATATTATTTATTATTATTTATTAAAGAAAATATACTTACAAGCTATCAAACTCTCAAATAAATGCTCCATGTTAGATTATAGCAAAAAAAGAGAGAAAAAACAACACAAAAATGGTAGCAGATGTTTACCCAGGAATTTAAAGCAAACAAACAAAAAACCTAAGTGATTCAGAGATTAAGGTGACACACATTTCTCCATACTGACAAAATCTGACAAAAAGTTATTACTAAACATTAGTGTTATATCATGTTCATCTATTAATGAGCTGTGAAATGGTGCATAAAATGTGTAGAAATTATTAAAATAGCTTTAAAGTTCTATTAGTACCCTAGGCAGCCACAAAGTTTGCATTTACTTGTCATATATTAGTCAAAGAAACTGTAAGACTGGCATGGATTAAACTTCCCCCAGGGTAAATATTGTCCTTTTCAGGATATTACAGCACTGCTGAATAATAATAAACACTATTTCAAGCATGTCTTACAATAAGATTAACTTTTGGGCCAAGCTTCAGTCATAAAGCGATGAATTATGCCATTTTGCAACATTAAAAATATGCAACAACTACGACTGCCAGTGCTGCAATGATTCAATTACATCATAACTTTATAACTCCAAATATGCGCAAGTTACAGGGCTGCCAAAACGTATAAATGTTTGGACATTTAGCTGAAGGCGTTCCGGAACAAGTTGCTCGGATGCAAGTAATGGTAAACGCAGAAATCAGACAAATATCAGCTGCCTTAGCCAGGCGTGCGGCAGAGCTGCGAGCGACGGGGTCAAATTCCTGAAAGATTAAATCTCTGGGTGACCTTCTCCAGGTTTAAACCAACATCTACTAAAGCGACGTGACTCGACATGCTCAAACCGATCTCCGCTCAGGAGAGTAAAGATACAAGTAACAGTTCCATCTTTTTTCCTGCTCACTTTCCAAATAATGGTGCCAGTATAAACATGCACAGATCAAACTTGCCTTTGTTAGAATCATGACATCAGACAGAACAACAGGCAAGGTTAATGTCTTAATAGCTAAGAACAACTTTTTTTTTTTTTTTTTTAGTCTTGTATGGCCCCATAATGAGGCAAAGAAAACCGCCTCCATTTTTCTAGGGGCAAAAAACCCCAGACCTATCTACTCCAATAGCCCCTCTATTAACCCATCACTGGAGCTCGGCTTGTTTCATTGCCAAGTGCTCCATTGCAGGTAGTCATTATGTTGTAAAAAAAGCTCCTCTGTCATTGACAGTATGTAATGGTTGCAATCTGTTAATATATTAGGCTACCAGTTGTAGCGGAGCAGCCACAGGAGGCCAATTACTCCTGCACTAATGTGAAGAAATTTGAGGCTGCACATGGTGACAGCAGCAAAACAGGGGGCTGCTGGGCACTTTCTGATGTTGCAAATAACACAGAAGTGTGCCTGAACAGTCACTGTTGTGTTCTCAGACAGTTGTGTATGCTGATATTTTTGACCTCTCGGAGCTGAGAGACAAACCAAAAGTTCTCTGAGGGAGTAAAGAAAGAAAGAAAGAAAAAAAAAGATAATAGTTACTTTTGCACCTTTCTTGCGAGTATTTCAAAGTTTAGATCAAAGCTTGTCAAAACATTCGTACCACTCGTGTGTGTTGGTGTGAACATGAAGGAGAGAGGGCGTGCTGTGTGTACAATGAACGGGCTATTTTAGCTGCGTCTGTGTGTGTGGTCGGGAAGCAGACTGAGGAGAACAGGGACTCTGTCATAGAATCTGATTCGAACAATTAAGCACAGACCCGGCTTTCATGAAGTTTGTTACAGAGATGTTGAAACCACATTACCGCCGCCCGGTCCTGGACTGGTTGGCAACACTGGGTCAGTGAGAGAGTTATCTGGTATTTTTATTTTTTTTTTCTTTACAAAATCAAGGCTGGCATTTCGTTATCTGTGCCAAAGAGCTTGGGAGGGAAAGAGCGCTGATGTCTAAATCTGTCTAAATCTGCTGCGAACCACAATCATAACATTTCATTTGTTGTTTTTAAAAGCCGAACTAAAAGCAGGGTTCCTGTGCAGTCTGGAAAAAGTCAGGCTTTTGAGGCGTTTTCCAAGTTTGGAAGAGTACGGAAACATTTCATATCCCGATGTATATCCCATTATCTAAAAGTTGTATCCTCCATGCATTTATCCGTCTTACTTATTTGTGGTTGGAAAATGGAGTGTAATGAGAACTTTTTGGAAATTGTGGAAGAAAAACAGGTAGAAAACCCAATTTGTTAAAAGCCTTATCACAATGTTGTTTACATCCATGTCTTTCCCCAAACTTCCAGACTTTTCAGGGCTCAGTTTTGCACCAATTAGGGCGAGTGCCTGAAGCATTCGACCCTCAATATTAGAGGGATTAGAGGGTTAAAAGTCAGGTGCTGAGGCGAGGAGGCCTGGGGAAGGTAGAAGAGCGGGGCACGCTCTCAGAAAGCAGGGAGGGGGGAAGTCAAAAGGGCGGAAACCTGGAAAAAAAAACATGTTACAATTAGCAAGGAGGAAACTCAAGAAGAACAAATCCTTCTTATGTCAAAACTTGACGTGTTATTGTTCCTCTCCCCTCAGAGGTGGCACAGCAGGAGGGCTGTTGCCATCCCAGGAGCTTTTACTTATAAGAGGAGTTTTGAGTAAAACCCCTGAGCTTCAAAGGCCTCTCTGCCTCAAACATCAGTGCTGAACTAGCGGTATGTGGAGGCAAACCCCAGCCCATACGCCTGCCAAGCTAAATTGAAGAAGAGCTCGCCGATGCAGCCAAATGATGCGTTCAGAAGAACCACTTCAAAACCCTCGCATAAATATACACACACATGCGAAGGGATCTGAGGGCTTTGGAGTGGCCCGGTTTGAGCCCCAGAACCCCCCCACCCACACCCCCCCAAAATACCCGCTGCCCTCCACGTCCGCTTTCACACACACAGTCCCACACAAGCATGTCGAAGCAAACTCTAAAAGGTCTGCAGAATCAAGTCTGCTTGATTCTGCAGACCAGATAAGTACATCTGAAAAGTTCTGAATCAAGATGGAAAATCAGTGAAGATATCCCCCCACCCCCCGAGGAGAAAGAAAGATTCCAGAGGGACGTGAGGGAAAGAGTAAGGAGAACAAGGATGTTCATCTATAAAGAAATACACCACAAATTGCTGCATTTCAGCGCTGGTTTGTAAAAAAAAAAGAAAAAAAAAAAAAAAAAAAGGAAAAAACGGAAGAAATAACTCTTAATCTAAGGTTGTAATTACTTCTGGCCTGCACTGTAATTAGGAGATGAGCCATGAACTAGATCTAACTAGGCAAAAGGAAAGCAAAGATCCAAGGCACAAACACACACCGACAGTGCCAGTGCAGCTATTGGCATCCCTGGGAAAGATGTGTTACATGTCTTTTATTGTGCAACATAATAGAAAAGTGTGACCTTGAATTTTAGTGCATGCATACAGAGGAGGTTTTTAACAAAATAACCACCTACTGTCCTGCACGTTTCAGGTGTTGGTCTGCTGCCACAGGCTTCTGCAGCATCTGATGGCATGTTGAGGAGGTAGTTCAATCATTTGAATCAAAGATGTTGGAGAAGAGACACATCTAACACATAAAAAGGCCCTTCTTTCACTGAGTTGGCTCGACCCTTTTGTTCTCTGGCTCACTCTTTTCTTAATGTCTATTTCAGTCGCAGCCAGGGCGGCAACAGATAGCGCTGCTATCTGTTGCCGCTCTGTGAGTTACGCAGGCCAAGAGCGGGAATCTGTGCCCGTCTGCTTGAATCTGAGCGGCAGCACAGATCAGCCAGAATCCCAGTCGCTCAACGCTGCAAACAGCACAAGAACGGCGCAAGTCGCAACATGCAACTGGTAGGAAGTCGAGCGAGAAGGAGCCTCACAGCTTCTTGCATCTTAAGCAAAACAAAAAAAACTGTATCTGTGATTAGCTGATCTTGGTGCTGGGCTGCATAACCGGCCTGCTGTTGTCAGTGCTACAGCGGTTTCAGGAGCTTCATCTGAAAGAACGATGCAACTTTTTGGGTTTTGAGTTCCACTTCGAAAACAAAATATTTACTCTTCAGTCGAGGAATCATCTGAGAGGCAGCGACCACAAAAGTCTAACCACAGAAGCGTCAGGACACACGCTTTTCCCCGATTCAGAAGCTACTCACACAACTTGTCTGCACAAGCGTGCATCGGTACCTCTACCTGTGTGGGTTTTTATGCAAAGAAGTATTAGTGAAAGAACAGGGCTTTTGTGTGGTGTTGTAAAACACACCATGCATCGAACAACAACTAGTTTCACAAGTAAATACACTGACGCATGCCATGCAAACTAATGTGTAAGTATCTGTTCCACAAACAGTTATAGTAAAGTTTGTTGCATATTTTTAAAACCTGACTCAGATCAAATGTCTGTGCATTATGGTTTACAAGCCACTGCTTACTAGAAACACAATAGTAAAGTAAATACTGTAAAATATGAATAAAGGTCACCTGTCATAGTTGGTAAAAGTGGGGGAAAGATCAAATAACACATGCATAATATATACTGATAATTGGCTTTAAACAGCTTAAAATATTTTCCAAAAATTGGTATGAATGTAGGTTTTTTTTTTTTTTTTTTGTCCAATCTTCATCCACTAATAGAAAATTACAAGAGGAGATGAATATATCGAATCTGATCAGGATTTTTTTTTTTTTTCTGGGCAGTTTCTATTTCCAGCTTTGTTTGAGGTGTGATCTGCTGATTTTATGGTAAAGACTTTAGATAAAAAGAGAAAACAATAGAACGCAAGATCGTTGATAGAGATAGAGGTCCCTTGTCTTTATCTGATTTAACTAAAAAAAAAAAGTTCACCACAGTACAAACAGCTGCTAGAGGTGGATTTAGATAAAAAAAATAGTGGGATTTTTTAGGTTTACCGTTTTTACGGAACAGAAGTAGAAACTCATCCATTCATGTTAGTATTATCTTAGACCAGCTTCCCTGCTGCCACCATTATATTTGATGGAGCGGTGTGTTTAGTTTCTTCTGTACTTGACCGGCTGATCTCCAGTCAGAGCTGACTGACTGAGTCATACATCCATAGGAAATTTTATTTTTAAGAACCAAATCAGATTTACTGTTCATATTGTTCATCTTTATGTATAAAAAGCTGCATTAACACATACTATATTTCATGTTATAACATCACAGATAAGGAGAGAATTTGTAAAAGATAAATACATTGTGGCCAGTGCTGAGTTTCAGCAGCAGAGGCAAATAAACATGTATGAAGCAATAAAAAAATATACATATGTAAACTGCAGATAAATGTCTCCGCTCAAACTGGTTGAACTACCCTGGTGAAAAACCAAAAGAACACACTGTATGAGGGCATGCAGTTTAAATTAACAGATGGGAGACGATGGGCTGATGAAGCTAAGACAAGGAGTTGACAGATGCAATAGGCGAGCAGTCGACCCGCATTCTTGCCTCCCTTCCTGTGCTCCGTCACACTGTTGTGTTGCCACATGGTCGGCCCGCTCAGCATGCTCCTGCACACAGCTGGAATTTAACCAATTAGCAGCAGCAAAACTTCCTGTTTCGCTTGTGGGCTATTAACAGTGCATGACAGAGGGGCTGGTTTCCAGCTAAGTAGAGCCGGTTGTACATGGTAAAGGTGATTTGATTAACAGATCCAACTTTTTTTTTTCAGGTGGAAAAAAAAAAAAGCAACTGAAGTAGAAGAAGAAGAAGAAGTGGGGAGTAGGGGTAGAAGAGGAAGCATCGTGACTGGGTAAGTGAATCTCGCAGCTTTTACTACAAAAGTGTCCATATAAATAAGAAGTGGCCAGCTGCTATAATACAAACACATGGTTAAGATCAGGAACGCTGTATATTATTACAGAGGGGGAAAAAAAGCTCGACTTCATAAATAATGTAGGATTTCTGATGTGGTTATATTAATAGGCACTTGGAATATTTGAATCCAGAATCCCAAACAAGCCACTGTTGGCGGTCTTTAGCGCGTTAACTCTAACACCCTGCTTCCTCAAGAGGCCTTTTCACTCTGAGCCTGTTAACAAAGACTGGCAGGAGAACAAGAGCAGCTCTCTTACCAAGCTCACAGCATTTCAGTGACACAAGGAGGCTGTGTAGGAAACGTACGTTAGTTTGTTTCTTTTCTGAACTTAAGGAAATGTTGCAGTTCCTTTTCCCTTTGCCACCATCATTTCATTCCTAAATGTAGGCAGTTTATCCATTCCTACTTCCCTTTCATACATATTTAAAACAATTTCATGCTCATGTATTGCATCTGTTTCTCTTTGTAGGCACGCAAATGCTCAAATCTAACAAATGATTGAGTTATCTGAGTATTTTCTGAGAATGACTCTTACACAACGTGATGGATACACATACTATATTGTATCCATCATGAGGATCCCGTTGATGTTATAGAAGTCAAAGTGACAATTCCTTACTGGAAACAATGACCAGTCTGAAACACTCCATGCCAGATAACTAAATTTAATACCCAAAAATATCAGGCACTGAAGTTCTAAGGACAAATTATCTTATCAATAGGCTCCACAGTTTTCCAAAACAGTCTAAGTGACTTTCAACTTTTAAAATGACATTCACAGTAGATGAGAAATCATAAAGGCTGCCGGAGCTACCTCAGTCTAAAGCAAGCTGCACAGAGAGCAGCTGAAACACTACTGATAATGTTCATGAGGTTTAAATTTTAAATTGGTTTTGGGGAATATTTTTTTTTAAATTCACTTGCACTATACTGTCCCAGTAATTGGATGTCAGTACACAACTTGTCCCCTGTTCACCTTGCGAACCTTTTCCTGACCCTTCACCCTCCGTCCTGCCTCTGTGCTGTTCCAGTTTTCAATGAGCTGTGACAGGGACTGTGTGGGCTTGTAAAGCCAAACCCACATGAACACAGTCTCCCTGGATCTCTGGACGCACATCGCCACTCCTGCTAATTGCCTCCCTTGCTCATCCTCGCCCACCTCCTCCTCTTTCTGTGTGATCCCCATCTTATAGGCAGAGAAAGACGCAGCAGTGAAGTATTGATTTCTGGCCGTAACCGCCACATTCCACATCCTGTTTTTTTTTTTTTTTTTTTTATCTTGCTGTAAATTATTTGCAACTCGCACATGCCTCAGTATCAACACCGAGCCTATTTCTGCCTTCGGAGTTTTACCATCAAAAGCTTGCCTTGAATTACAACGCGTGTTGACAAACCCTGCGCATCTTTTACTCATCGTTTTCCAGATGCACGCCTGTATTCCTGCATGCGTCTGCAACGGTTTCACAACATGTTGAAATACGAGTGAATGTGACCGAGCTGCAGCTTCTTATCAATGCTCACCACTACAAGCGCATTAGGATATCATTGTGGGTTAATAAAGTTACTATTTCAACCCGCAGACAAACACTCAAGAGCAAACAAGGGTGTTCCATACGGTAACTCTACCGCATGCTTAAGCAAACTCTGTCACATCAAAGCTCTGAGCCCAATCACACGTGTGTGAGCAAATATTAGAGAGTACACGTTGTTGTGTGTTTTTGACCCAGGAATCTGCTCCGATCACCTGAAGAGATGTATGAAGGGACCTGTTGATTTGGAGCAAACAAACTGCTCCTTTTGCCGACAAAAGTTACTATTCAGTTCCAACAAAGCACCCATTTGTATCTTCTGTCTGAAAGTACGATAAACATGTCATGTGTAAAGAACAGATCTGGGTCATGAACCACACAAAGGGCCATTATGTCTCTTAGTTTCCTTTATACTTTTAACATTTGGTATTCAAACCGTATTGGATCTATTTGGTCTGCCTAAAATACAATTGGAGAACATTGTTAACACATATAAAATGACTGTTGGTGGCTTATTTTCTTTATGCCAGATTCGAGGAGGTGTAAAAGGTCAGCACTAAGGAGTTTAAACATCTGCGGATCTCACCTGTTTGGGTGATTGTTGCGCTCACACCTTCTCTAAATCAAATCTTAAATTGTTTGCTCTGATTTGTGTTTGTTATTTGGATGTGACCTCTAAGCTTTGATTGCACATTTCCCTTACGCTGTATGGTTGACCAACGAACCAGCATATTTGATTAAAACAACAAAGAAATGAGAGTTTTGGTTCATAGGGTGACAGAGTGTACCTGAGGCCATGAAGGAGAAGCCTGTCCATGTTAGGAGTCGGGAGGGAAACTGTACCGCCTGACTGCTGCCTTTTCCAACCTCCAACCTCCCCCAGTGCTGGAGCAGCACCAATGCAGGCAACAGTTTCACAATAAATTCCTTTGTGACACTGTAATCTGCACCAGTGATCTCCAGTTCACATTTATCTTGTGTGTATGGCACATGTCTGTTTTTTTTTTTTGTTTTTTTTTTTTCATTATTTGTTAAAGAGAAGAAAAAAAACTCCGGGGCAGATTGACAAAAATCTCAAACAGTGGGTTCTTAGAGCAGGAGAAGTATTGTGAGGTGGATTTAATGCCTCTCTGTAGCTTTGTCTGTCATATACTCAATATGTACGTGTCAGTGGCAACTACAGGTCAATACTGAATAGTCAACAAATCTGAAATCAGCTCAAAGATGTTCAATGCTTGGGATGTAGTTTTATAATCTTACACTTCCTTAAAGTTCTAATTTCTGACATTTCAGCTGTGTTCCCTGGTCTATTTGTTTACCAATACTCTTTAAGAAACCTCCTAGGTCTTCACAGAACAGCTTGATTTATACTGAGGTTAAGTTAAACATAAGTGGGTTTTATTTAAGAGTATCAGCATCACACTTTTGAGATTTTCATTTATAAGAAATTAATAATTATATACTACTTTGGTGGTGAAATTTGACTGTTGTTCTCTAAACAAGTGCAAACTTGTAGTTTCTCCCCAAGACTGCAAAGCCTCACAAAGTGAACAAGTAGCCATGTGCCCAACATTACTGATTACCATCACACTACTTTTGAACTCCCCTGAAATTTTAAACCCTCACAGGGTAGATATGGCAGGTGGAGAAGGCCTGACTGCCTTCATCGGATTCCAGTCATACTCGTCATGAACAAACCAATACCGAAAATGTTTTTTTAAAAAAAAGCTTTGAGCAGAGGCGTTAAGCAAGAATGGGACAAAACAGGATATTTTAGTGCTTCTAGACAACCAGCTTAAACAAATGTGACATGTTGGTATCCGGAGTACACACTCGGATAAGGCAGATGGCGTGTTTGAATACAGCGAGAATATGACTCAGACATGCTGACAGACAGGTAAAGAGGCAAAGGGATAATTTTCCTCAGTGAGTACGTGTGGCATTGTTTGTTTAACAATGGCCGGGCTGCCAGTCATTCACTGTTTTAAGCCTGACTGAGTCACACAGCGTCCAACTCTTTATTGATCCTTTACATGTTGATTTTAAACAAAGAGGGGCAGGGGGGGTCAAAATAAAGTTGCACAAATAGACATAACTCCATGCTGCATCTTTTCATTGTTATTATGATTAATGTGGAAGTCCTGTCCTGTTTGTAGTGGTTGTACAGAAACCCCGTAATAGGAAACTACATAGCATGAGAAGTATGCATGGTGTGCACAGGTAGAAAGGCATCATAATAGCCAGAAGACAAACTAGCGTTATGCAGATGGAATGAATGTCACTCAGGAAGGATGACTGTCGGCATGTGAATGTAACTGTAGTCTTGTGGCTAACTGAACTAACTGGTCCTTCCAGCTTCCTCAAACAAAAAAACAAGCACAAAACACAAAGAATTTCCTTCTTCAAACTTGGTTCTTCTTAGAAGCTTTAATCAACCCAATTCAACTGTGGCCAAGCTTGTGTTACATGTCTGCACCAGCGTGGCAGAGCACTCTGGAGCATGCTGCCAACACGAACAATAAGGTTTTGATGGTGACCGGACGAACGGAAAACGAAAGCAAATGGCCAAAGTCTGGAAAGGGTCCACATTCGTCACAACCAGCCCCTGCTTACACGGTTTCCTGGTGATGTGAAGCTTTTGGCCTGAGCAGGCTGTGACCTCTGCAATGCTGCGGTTTGTCATTGTGTCTGACACAAAAGGATGAATAAGAGACGCGAGGCACAGGACTAACAAAAGCTGTGGGTGTAAAACACCACTTTGAGAAAGCGGATCAAAGGACAGGTTGTCAGTGGTGCGCTGGAATCCTGTGTCCTCTGTGTAACGTGAGCGCCTTGTGGCGAAGGTCTTCAGCAGATGTGCAGAGCCGCGAGACAAAAGCAACCGCGAGTTGCTGTCTTCAGAGGGTCACAGGGCAGGAGACGATGACGAAAGACTCGTGTCGTGACCGAGGGGAAACAAGTGGACAGTGTGTCTGGCCTCAGCCGGAGTCTGTGCTTATTTAAAAAGCAAAAAAATCTGATCTAGCGTCTACTAAACCATATGTCCTTTAGCAATAAAACAAAAAGGAAATGATCCACGTTTCCGTTTGGAGCGCACACAACATGACCTCTGCGCTCCAAAGTCTCAGAGGAGGCAGACGCAGACTCCACAAGTGCTCTCTTGCAGACGAGACTCTGCCACCAACCTCCTCTGGTTTCCTCCTCGGGCTTTTCGGACCTGGCCGTATCATGTAGTCAGACACACTCCAGAGGGTTTGGGGTTTCACATCTCCACTGGAGGAGCAGAGAAAAAAAGGCACCTGTCGAGACGAGGCGCAGGTATATGATCGTAACTGGAGCTGGGCGTGCGACTCTGTCCAACAGAGGATGTTAACTGTGTTGTGTGGGTCAGCGTTGCAACAAAGG